ATGAGGGGAGGGAAAAGCACTCACCTCATAGTTCTAGCCGACCTGTGACAGTCTCATTGTCACAGGTCGGCTAGAACTATGAGGGGAGGGAAAAGCACTCACCTCATAGTTCTAGCCGACCTGTGACAGTCTCATTGTCACAGGTCGGCTAGAACTATGAGGGGAGGGAAAAGCACTCACCTCATAGTTCTCCTTTAATGTTTGCCATTTGTGGCCACTTTTAGTAGCTCTAAAATAACATTCAGGCAGGGGAGGACAAATTAATATGGAATTCAGGAGCCGCTCTGTCCAAACCAGGAGCCAACAGAATTTATTTTAGGAGCCAGCTCCACTGACAACAGCTAGCGAAAACCTCAAAAGTTAGACGCCAGCTGGCTCCTGGAATTGGTCCAGCCCTGCATTATACAATGTAATAATAGTGCTCAGTGGTAAACTCTCTTAAGTTTCTCTCTGAATACAAAGAAAGGTGTGAAAAGGATGTATAGCCACCACTATACCTCTAAATTCTGCTGCCTATGTTATATTTCCACAAATCCGGACCCGATTCCACCACATAGCATTTGAAAATTATGTTACCACTTTCTAAATATGTTTGCAGAATGTATTATGTGACATAGTGTGTGTGTGTTTTTTTGTAAAATCTTACAAAAAAACATGATATAGCTAGAAGTGGTTATTCACATTCACCTGGATTTGTAATTTTGAAGATGTTTTGCAGCCTATTTATCCACTATTTCAGTTCTAATCAGTTCATTACAGCTGAAGAAATGGTTTGGATAAGTTGTGAAACGTCTAACATTACAGAACAAGTCCAGTAGCATGTGACTTGCCACTGCTAGCATTAATTGTAGCTGATATTTCTGGTAATGGTGGCCTTTTCTCTACGCAACTGTTGTAGTGTTTCATGCGTGATGCATATTTCACAAGCTGCGGTTCGGAGATGCAGCTAGATGGTAACATTCAGAGACACATTAGCTTTCAAATAACTGAGCACAATACCTCTGCCCAGTGTTTCCATAGACACACATCTATATTTGTTCTTTCCTCTGCCATTGTCCCTAGTGTACCCAGTGCTACAAGATAACACGCAAAGCATCACTAAGATTTTTATTATTCCAAGTTTCTGTTTATCTTACTGCTTTGTAAAGAATCTAAATCATACGTTTTTATAGCAGAACGTGTTATCACATGTCAGGACTACGAGTGTATTTATGAACCTATTTTTATCATGTTTTTATTTTAGGACATTTATTGTTTTAAGTTCCCATCCAAACTTTTATAGCCATTTTGATAATTCACTGTAGCCTCTATTTCTCGTACGGCTTGCTTTAAACAAGCCCATATTTAAAGTGACACTTAACTGGAAGGGAGCTAATTTTGATCCCCATGGGTTCATGTGTGTTGTAAAGTAGGCACCACTCCAAGCTCGCTCCGGTGATGGACTACAATCTCACATTTAGTTTACTAAATTGTATTGAGATTGTAGTCCTTCACGGGAGCAAGCTTGGAGCGGTGACTACTTTACAACACACACAGGGACCATGGGGAACAAAAGCAGTCACCCTCCAGAAGGAAGGACAGTGTCAGCACCAATTCAGAGGTGATTGAAATATCTGAAGCCGAGTGATACACAGATAAGATAAATTTTTGTTAATAGTTAGGGTACTTGAATGCATTTTTAAAGTTTAACTGGGTTTAGTGTCACTTTAATAATCATAAATGCACCAGATTAAGGCCCTATTCACACCAAAATTGCAAGGTAATGACAACGCAATGGAGGTGTCCGTTGCCTTGCGATTGTTCCTTCCGATTTATATCCGATCCACGATTTTTAGCCTTTTGTTTTTTGGGGGGGGTTTTTTACTTCTTTTTTGGTCAAGCTTTATGTGAAGTGACATGTCCAGAGTTGACATATTTCACTAAAGCTTTGCGCTAGCATTGCTCTGGTGTTACCATCCATTAAAAAATGGATCGTAACGCAACGTATTCTGTGTGTATGGGGCCTAAAATGTGTTTATAATGGTTTGGAAGAATTTTTGTTTCTGGTTGTTGCTTAAAGGAGAACTATGAGATGAGTGATTTCCACTCACCTCATAGTTCTAAGCCGACCACCTCAGTATACCGCGAGCTGTAGCTCGCGGTATACTGAGCTTAGGGTAACGGGAGGACGCTAGTTTGTGTCCTCCCGTTACCCTAAGGAGAACTATGGGGAAAAACACTGACCCCCATAGTTCTCCTTTAAAACGGTTTTGTAAAGTTATTCTGATGAGTTCCTTTATGATGTGTTTTTTAAGATATGTTTTCACCTGCATTGATATCTTCGCAGTAACACACTGAGAAAATAATGGAGAGTACTTGTCAGGTTAAGAATTACAGATTGACTGAGCTATTTGAGAACTTTTCCCACCAGTAAATTAATTTTTCTTCTTCTGTAGCTTTCATAAATACTGCTGCCTCAAGCCGAATGAATAGACATAATTGCTCATAGAAGCATCACATAAAAACCCAATTGTTTGATGGCATCCAAAGATTTAATTTCACCATCGTTTTTGCAATTTCGGGTAAAGCATCTACGTATCAAAAACTGCTCTGTGAGCGGTCTATGGATATGGTTTTCATCACATTCATCTGCCAGAAAATTGAACTTAGTGCACAAGTCTGGGAATATCTTGATTTGTGAATAGTGGGCAGGTTGGAAGTGAAGAGGGGTACTTGACCATATTTGTTTCCAAGTGTTCATAATAAATTAACTCCTTATGGTGCCCATACACCTTACGACCATCGCAAGACTTTTGTCTTGCGATGGACGTATGCTTATTGAAAGCTCGTACGATCTGCCCACCTTGGACGGGCAGAACGTACTTGCGATCATCGAAGGCCCGCCCCGCTGAGAGGCGTGCTTCCGATGACTGCAATGCAGAACGGGCAGTGTGCGCGTGCGCACATCGGCCCGTTCCACAGCTATTGAACGAGCAGGCTAGAAACCCGCCGACAATCGTACGATTCTCTGCGGGTTTTCGAGCATGCTGGTTCGACAAAGGACGTGCGACCGCACAGTAGAAGCGGTCGCACGCCTTCCATACACTGTACGATTCTCGTACGATCGCGGGATTTCCCGCGATTCTCGTACGAGAATCGTACAGTGTATGGGCACCTTTAGTAGCCTATGTCTCTGCTTTACATTTAACGTATGTGGATCTTATCTGTTCTGGTAAGGTCTCTTTTTAGAGTACGGGATTAGGGTGCTAAGGGAGCTTAGCTGTTGTAACATTGCACTGGTTTTTTTTCCTACTACATGACACATGTAAAGCTTAATGCCTTGCTTGTTGACAAATAAGTTATGGTATTTGGGAAAATTGTTTAGGCCTCCCCATCTGTTGCTGTTCATTGAACCCGGTAAGCAGCACTCCCGAGGTAGGGGGCCCTGAAATGAAAACAGATTGGGCGCAAGGTACAGTTTATCTACTACTGCTCTTTGGACTGTCTTCAAATAATACCCTTTTGTAGAGGGCATTCTTAATTGGACACAACAAGAGATTGAATTTCATAGGCTTATAAAATACTTCACATGAATGTAATTGGAGTTCCTCAGGCTCCTGTGCTGGGTCTGAGCCCGATCTTCACATCCTCTTAATAGTTTAAATGTTCCTAAAAATGGATCATTTAAAACATTGTTTTCCTTCTCAAAGTAATCATATACCTGACTAAGTCCACGCAGGCGGTCCAGTTTTTAACCAGCATTGATTTGGTGAAGATGTGGGATGTTATCTTCTGCACACAGGTATGTTACAAGTGTAGGAAAAAGACACTTTATTTGTAGAGTCCAATACATACTCTGGGAGGCATCGAGCATTACTTACATCTGCCCTTTCAAAGTTGAATGCAGTTCAACAGCTACTAGTCAGAAGATGGTAAAATGAAAGCCAAGTGTGCTTTATTAAAGACATTCAGTCACATGCTTATGGGTAATTAAATGTTTTGGGTGCAGTTAAACTAGAGCCAGATTCCTTTGTGAAAATACTGATTCTTACAAGGACAAATTCATACTACATGCGTTTTGTGCCCTGGAGGGACTTAATGAACTGTTGGTGTTTTTCCTTAGTGTAGGACTTCTTGCATATGATCTTTTGCAGATGAGTAAGCTGTCACAAAAAAATGTCAGTGTCCAGTACATAGAATATTCCCTCTCCCAGTATTTCCAATGTGTATTTCGGTCTACGGGTACAATAAAAAAATTAAAATGTCAAACAGCTCATCAATTTATAACTAGAAAGGAGTTGCAAATAGGATGTGCAAGAAATACATTTCTCATCATGCAGCTTTGCGGGTCAGCAAAGGAAACCTGTTTCTAACATTATGGTTATGTGTGTAATGTATCCACCCTTAATTGAATAATGAAATTCTATAACTGTAAATGTGTATTGTATAGTGCATACGACATTAGAATCAATCAAGAAATCAGAAAGAGGAAATCAGACAGTCTTCAATGGTCTTTTGTGCATATATTCTGTTTTGCACGGTTGTGTGTCACAGCTGCAGCCCCTTTATAATAAAAGGGAAGGTCTCCAGGTATTTAAATGGTGCTTTTTGCTGAGGACAGGTTGATTACATGCTTTTAATAACAACTAGGCCATTAGTCACTGCAGTGATAATTGTCGAAGTGACTCTTGTTCCAAAGCATATGTAAGATTGAGATAGCAGAAGAACAGTGTCTCTAGTGCAGGGGTGGGCAACTCTGGCCCTCCAGTTGTTGTGGAACTACAAGCCCCATGCTGCATTACAAGACTGACAGTTATAGGCATAGCTCCGAGAGGCAAAGGCATGTTGGTATTTGTAGTTAAAGCACAGCTGGAGGACTGGAGTTGCCCACCTCTGCTCTAGTGGATAAATTTTTGTATTCCTCTTGCTTACATTTGTGGCAAAATGTTTCATTGGCTGAGATATACATATTGCCATGCCCAGCACTGCCATCTCTAAGTATCTTCATTATATTTTCTCAGGACTTTCTAACTGATCTAGTGATGTCAGAGGTAGACAGATGTGGTGACCATGATGTCCTAATCTTCAGGGAAAATACACTGGCCACCAAAGCCATTGAAGAGTACTTGAAGTTAGTTGGGCAGAAATACCTGCATGACGCTCTTGGTAAGTTTTCTCCTCCAATTTTGGTAAGAGTAATCTAAGGATTTCTTTCCTCCTCACATGTCTCTCTAAGCTTTCACTCTCTTTGTCATCCTTCAGGGGAGTTTATCAAGGCCCTGTATGAGTCAGATGAAAACTGTGAGGTTGATCCCAGTAAATGTTCATCTAACGAGCTTGCTGAGCATCAGAGTAACTTAAAGATGTGTTGTGAGCTGGCTTTCTGTAAAATCATCAATTCTTACTGGTGAGTAAGCCGATCTTTTCTCTGCAGAATAATGCATTTCATGGCTTTGTTACAAATTGGAGATTAAAGATGTGTCTTGCCAGGCCTGATGTATTGAAATTATCTTAAAGACAATCTATAGTGCTTTTTTCAAGGCCGGCCATAGATAGGACAGTCATGGAAGATTCAGCCAATATTATTTGAATGTTCCAATATTATTCAGCAAATACATATTACTTTGCTGCATTATTGGTACACAAAAAACAATTAGAGTATGTCGGATCAAATAAAAAAGAAAAACCATATTCGGTACATCTCTGCACATTTCACCAGGTTTTGTTCATTTAAAAACCCTGCAAGTGCATACAATTACCAGTTGATCTGCCAGAAGTTAACTTAGATCCTAAGTCCTGTTGTGGACTGAGTGGTGGCAGCCCTGCCCTATTTTTGGTTGCTTAACTACTCAAACTCGCCTACTCTCTCATCTCTACAACATAAAGATTTTCCATTCTGTAGTCCCATTATAAGGCCTGGGAGGTTGAGTTAATCTCCTTGAGACAACACAGAAAGCGAGCAAAAGACAATTCTGGATTTCTGACATGATCAACAGGTTTTTAGTTTTTTTCACTTATCAAACAGATATAACAAGCAAATGCGAGAAGTTAAATGATAGTGCTTATATACACTTGAAAAAGTTCGGAATCAATTTCTAACTTGTTAGAGAATCATTTTGTTGTAGCCAACAATTTTCAAGGAATGTTCCGTGGATATACATGGCTCTGCCACACAGCACGGCCCTGTTTAGCAGAAGAGGGGACCGGATCTTTCTCTGCTGCAGTTTCACTTTCACTCACAGGTCTCCCCACCCCACCTTGTGACTGAAAGGAATGTTATCCACTTAAAGTGTGTAAACTCTAACAATGAACTTTTCCAATTTGCTCCCTTTTTGGCCCCTTAAAGTATATCATTGTAAGCATTTAATAATAATCATTAAGAGTATTTTATACCTGCAAAAAAAATTCCTGTGATCCTGCCAGAATTCTAGTCAGCTGATAACTTCATATGCTCTCTGCCACTACTGCACTTTTATCAATTACATTGTTCCTAGTTCTCTGTGAAGGACTGTGCATCATTTGGCTTCAAGTCCTGTGACACTGGCATAGACATGAGAAGAAAGCCCATGTTATACACGAATACACCCCTACATGGATAGCAGCAGGGCCTGCAGTAACTAGAGGATGCTGGAAACCTTCCCTGGCCACCAAGACATGTCTGCCTCACATTGAGCTGGCCTCCATTTTTTCAGTAAGCACTGCTGGTGACTAGAGAAGAGGCTGTGCTTGGAGCGCAACAAGCCTGCTCAAACCTCAGACTACCACCCCCTCCTCCTGACCCAGAAGTTGCAGAGAGGCCCATTCCCTACCCTGCAGCTATATGTCACAAAGGAGCCGGGAATGCCCCACTTCAACTGTGCCTGCACTCATTGGGTCAGGAGAGGGTGTAATTTTGAGTGCAATTGGGCCAACTCTGAGAACTGAGTTCTCATCAAGCCCAACTTTATTTCTGCTGATGACTCTTTTCGAGGACATTGCCCAGAAATGTCACTGCTCTGGTCCTCTTCAAAATCCTTTACCCTTTTATTTTACATTTGAAGTGGCGTAGCTGTCCTTTTAGTAAACCAGCACAACATGTGCCACATCTCTACAGCTTTGTATGCAGTGTGTAACGGTTACACAAGAGAGTATTAGAATGTGTTTTTCATACATTTGTCATACTTGTAAACAACCCCATTGATAAATGATAACAGATTTTACTTTTGTGACCATTAAATGTGTACCACACAGTTCTTTTTAGCAATGCCGAGAGAAGTAGCAGCTAAAGTAGCACAGATTGAGGATGTGAAAAACACAACCGACTACTGACAAAAATTTTGCTTTGACAGTTTGCCAGGCCAAGTCACATTGTCATAGTACCATATTATGATGGTGTCAATGTTTTTTATGTCCGAATGAATGTGATCTTTGTTTCAATACACAATGAGCTGATCTGTTTTCAGCACACATAGACCCTTGTATGAAATGTTTACTTCTTAAATTCTTAATGTGAGTGCCAGACAAATGGAGCTACCAACATGCAATCTTTTCATAAACCGTATTCTTTTTTTTAAAGAATACCAACGGTGAGCAAACGTCTTATAACAGGGCCACTTACAGATTTATAACTAGAGACAAATATGGGTTGAAGATGCAAAGGGTGGTTATTAGACTAATTTGTTAATCAGTTAATCAACACCAAATCAAACCGTGCCTATATTGCACAAAGGGGAGGGGGTGCTGAGGTTCTTGTCTGGGAATTAAATTGTGCCATTTTTCATACAACAGGAAATTAAAAACGCTAAAACACATTCTGATAGGGGCAGTTTCTGTAGAAATATAGATAAATAATTGTAATGAGCTTTAATGGAACTCTGCACTGTTAGTACTTGGAAAAGTAAGACAACACTTACCTAGTCTTGCCCTCCATTGGCACTGGCCTCAAAATCCCCATGGAAAACCTATACAGCATTTACATAAAGTAACTGCACATGACTAGCTCCCCTGTGACAGTATACAGGCCTGGCAACTGGCTTCTCAGGCATCAATTGCAAAATTGTGAGATGTAGGGGAGAAGGTTACATGTTATGTAGTACCTCGAAGTACCTGTATTTTTTTTATTTTTTTTAAATCTTAGCCTCAGTTTCTAGGTCTGTTACTGTATACCTTGAAGGTTTGGGTGTTCCCGCTCACATTTGGATGCATCCATTCTACCTGTGCAATGGCTGCAGTCTGCCATTGTACAGGCCAGGGAATTCAGAACGAAGATTGCACCTCTGGAGACCTATGAAAAAGTATTCAGGTTGTTTCACCCTCCACTATCAAAAAAAGCAAGTTTCTGTTTTATGTTGGCATTGTATATCTATACTGAAGCAGGGTATAGGATTGATTCACCCCTCACCAAAAATGTAAATATTTATCATGTGGTAGAGCCGTATAGCTGTACAGTAGTAGGACATGTAAATGATTGACCTCTCTTTGTATTACATTTTTGTAGTGTTTTTCCCCGGGAGCTGAAGGAGGTGTTTGCAGCTTGGAAGCAGCAGTGTATTAACCGAGGGAAGCAGGATATCAGTGAGAGACTGATCAGTGCCTCCCTCTTCCTCCGATTCCTGTGTCCATCGATCATGTCTCCTAGTCTCTTTGGCCTCATGCAGGAATACCCTGATGATCGCACCTCCAGAACTCTGACTCTAATTGCAAAGGTCATCCAGAATCTGGCCAACTTTGCTAAGTAAGTGGTTTTAGTGATAGTTTATTAAGCATTTTCTAATCAATATTATTGATATTTTGTAAGGATCTGTAAACACCAAATGCATTTCCAACTATGCTGTAAAAACATTTATGCATAGCCACATACATATGTGAAAGGTTGAGATATATTTGAAATAAAAGAGCATCTCCAGACAACAAAACTCATTAGTGAAACACTAATCCTATCATAAAATCATGTAGTGTAGTAATGTGAGAAGGTCCATTGTATGAACCTAAAGTGAACCAGTGCTTTGACTGTACAGGGCAAAGTAAATGGCCCACTTTACTGTATCTCTCCCTCTTCCCTCCCTTTCACTTCCCTGCCACTTAATTCATCTCCGTTCTGGATGCTGAAGGGAGCATCGGGAGAGCAAAGGAAGTGTAAGCATTTTCTGGTGGGTGGTGTCTGATTAAAGCTATGTCGCCCCAGAAGAAGGGACCCTGCCTGGCTGTATGACACATGTGACAATTTAATAAAGTGCTTTACTTCTTGCACATATCGAGTGCTGGTGACTTCTATTATGGACTGTATCTGACATGGCGCCATCCATGTCGTCACTTCAAGCACCAACTTTTCAACAAGGTCTGTACACTGTATGGAGTGCAGGTGATTTCGTATTATTGATTAAAGCAAACTTGTTGCTTTTCTCTGAGTGGGCAGAGCATGTTTTTTTCATTTGCGTTCTGTATAAATACCTTGCAACTAGAACTGGTAATCTGTTCATTCTTCTGGGCCTGGATGCAGCCTCTGGTCACATGATTCAATTCCTTGATCCCATGAACCAGTGTGTGTGGGCGAGTCTTCACTGGGTTCTGAGAGAAAAGTAGATGAATCATTTTCATTTTCATAGACTGTTTCACAGATGTGAAAGTTATAGGGATTTTAACAAGCAGGACAGCCGGCTAGGCTAAATGAAAGATGGTGTCCTCTTGCCAGCGTTGTCATTGTATATAGACAATACAATCCTGTGTTTCTCTCTGTCTCATTGAATATCAGATGGCATCAATGATAGACATTAAAACTGCATTTCTCTTGTATGTATTTACATATGTTGTTTCTTTTGACAAAGATTTGGTAATAAGGAAGAATACATGGCTTTCATGAATGACTTTTTGGAGCACGAGTGGGGAGGAATGAAACGCTTCCTGCAAGAGATCTCCAATCCAGACACTATCTCGAACACTCCGGGCTTTGAAGGATACATCGACCTTGGCAGGGAACTTTCTGTCCTACATTGTCTCCTATGGGAAGTGGTGTCGCAGTTAGATAAGGTAACACATTCCTAACACATTCCAAAGACAAGTCCAGTTCTAGGCACCTATCTTCATGAAAAGCATGAAAAATAGTGCCATACAGATTTAGAGCTCATGAAAGCACGCTAGAGGGATTTGTATCCTCTCTGCACTAAATGAATGATCAGACAGGGTTTAGCACTCATGATCCATACCAGAAGCAGTTATATATGAACAGAACTTTTTGTAGTACTAAATGGCCTAGACCCAGAAGTTGTTTTATTTTTGTGTGGTTATTGGCAAGTTGAATCCCATCCTGGCTTCTTGCATATGGCAGTAACCTCAGAGTTCTGTGTAACTGTTGCAGTCACTACAGAAGTACCATTGCTGACCCTGAAATTGCTAGTTGCCTGATTTTCTTGCTGATCTTTTGGCTTCTGTCTGTTAATGTACTTGTTTTGGGCCAGGAATCTGAATTTATGGAAACCCAAGACAGTCGGACAGAAGCATTTTCAGGAGGTCACAAATGGCAGCTACCGTATCTGTCTCATGATATGTTTGCTATGAAAGGATAAATGATAATGATAGGCTTCTCTGACTGTCTCATATTAATGTAGATGTAACAACTACAAAACATATGACCATCATTAAAACCGTGTGGGGCCTACTGAGGGAAGCCATCAGTGATTTCGGGACATAGATACCCACACAAAATTAAAATAATTGTTTGGGTGGAGACAACTTTCTATCCTGGTTGCAGGAAACTGTGCAAAGGTAGAAACACTGTTATTTGCCATTTGCACTTTTCAGAGCTGAACAGCACCTGCTTATGCTGCTGATAACCTACATCTCCCATGATGCATTTGAACTGCAATGGCATAGGCAAGCTGCTGGAAGAGCAGCATGGGAGGTTTTGTGCAGTGGTTTCATATTCCAGCCTGTAGTCGAACATTCCCTGAATGCTGCATTTTTATGGAAAACAGAGATTTTATTTTGAGGTTGATAAATCCACCTTTATGCACAAGTGTCATCATTGAGCTGTGTCATTGAATGAGTAATATAAGTGAGAGAGCGTGTCCTACAGTATTTCCAGGAGAAAGCTATCACTGGATTTGGTGCTTTGTAATTATTCCAGAGAATGTGTCATGGGGATCAGAGTGAAACATGAAAGAGAGCCCAAGAATAAAGGGGTGATTCCTTAGTGACATGACATATGTTCATTTTAAATTGACTAAAGTGGAAGCTTGGTCAAAGATGTTCAATATCCAAATTAGTACAGTCCTCCTTTGCAGTCTTCAATACTAGGGAGGCTTTTTTTGTGATAAATACAGAATTATAATTAGTTATAACCTTTTCTGTAATGGCAGCTTCACACATATGCATTGCAGTAGCGGACATTAAAAAGCGACACCACATAGTACAGTGCACTGCTTTGACATTCTTCTAAAATCATACACACACACTCACACACATATAGTAGATGACAGCACACACCTGTGATGAAGCACACTACACAAAGCTCAAGTGCAATTTTTTTATATGGCTTTATTTTTTTAACCACAGCAAATTAAGCTTTCCAGCCCGACTGTTATATTTATCATATTGTGGTCCTATACAGTGGTACCTCAGTTCACGAATGCTTCTGTTCGCGAACAATTCGGTTCGCATAGAGGAAGTTAGGCAAAATTTTGCTTCTGTTCACCAACTCCGCATCGGGTGATGAACACAACCGCAGCCATCTTCCCTGCTCTGACACATGGCGTGGCTTCCTCTAGTCGAGATTGCACTCTGATCACAGTTTGATTCGGTTCGCGACCAAAATCGTGGAACGAATTAAGTTTGTGAGCCGAAGTACCACTGTACTAATGTATGCTGCACTGCTAAGGGGTCCAAAGGGATTCAAATAACTTTTTGGCCAGTTTACTATGTGGGGGGTCCAGATGCTGTATTTTGAGTTATCACTATAGTCAAAATTGCTTTATATAAACTGATGGTTTAAATTCAATAGACAGCAGCCTTATAAAAAACCTAGTCGGCTTCAAGAGGGATCCTGTTAAACTAATGGTATGTCCAATGGACCCCTTAATCTTTACATTTTTGGAAGGCTATTGTATATGTTAATGTATTTAATAAATGTATAGTTAACAGTAATTATCTTCAATGAAATATAAAAGTTGGTAGCATAGAATTCTGCCTACTGTCACCAGTAGCATTTTTTTCCCAGAGAAACTTTACATCAATGCTCTAGCATTGAAAATGTCCCATTAGAACCATTCATTATGTGTGTATACATATCTTGTCATTGTTATATTTTTACTTTATTGTGTTTTAAATGTTAACTGTCTCCTACATGCAATATATGCAGCCATATCCAGGGCTCTATTTAGTGGTTATGCAGCTTTAAGCTCTCGTGAACAATGAAGCCTTCTATTACAGGCTCAACTAGTTTAAGTTTATTATCATGTGAAATGGTGGGTTTTACTGTGGTAGTGTCTCCTACCATAAGCCACAGGTCCAGAGGTGCCTTCTGGTGAATAAAGACCCCTGCAGAAGACACTCATGACTGCTAGAAAGACTGCACCTGTGATAGGAACTGTGTATAGGCATTTGGTACAATTAATAGTTTCACCATAATACTGAAACTTGAAAAATGTAGATTTACAGTATGTATTTACCAGATTCTTTTCCTTCGCAATTGCTGGTAAGTGAGTGGGCAGTACTGGATTTTCCAACAAGTATTATATATTTGTGCTGTGTCTTCTGATTTTGCGGTACTGTCGCTAGCTGTGTTGTGGTGTCTGGATCCCCCCCTCATTATCTTGTTGGTTGATGTGTCCTCTTCTGATCACCTGGTTTTACATACAGTCCACACATGTCCTGCTTTCATAGATCACGGGCAATGGTGTCTCTAACAGACCAAAAAAAAGAACACCTGGCTGATTCCTTGGATCCCTGTTCCTTCCAGTAACACTGTTCACCTTTCTGTCTTTCCTCTTTGTCTAGATTGTTTGCATGCTGCTGTGTCTAACCTTTAACCCGTGTAATGTCTGGATGCAAACACGACCCTTCTCCTTCCTTTTGCATTTTGTTATACTACGTAGCTTTGCATGTCTGTTTTGAGTTGGAATGGCCTTAGTTTTAGTTATGTTAAGCATGAATTAATTTCTTTCTGGTTTTGAGCAATCCTAATTTCTTCTCTATTTCCTTTTCTCCCCTCCCCCCTTTTCCTACCCCGATGCCTGGCTGCACCCCGTCTTCCTCCATCCGTCACATCGTGGTTGATAATTCGGCTCTACGCTCATGCCATGCGCTCACACACTCATATGAAAATAAAATGTTAAAAAAAAAAAAAACACCTGCCCTCCGAACCCCACCTGGCCTTCCCCATCACTTTGGCGGACGTTTCCACGCATATTATCCAATCAGGGTGAAAATTCCTTCCTACAGGCCACCGTGGAAAAACTGGGACCATTGCCGCGCATCCTAGCTGACATCACCAAATCTCTGACCAATCCCACTCCCATCCAGCAGCAGCTACGACGGTTCAGTGAACACAGCTCCACTCCAAATGTAAGTGGCAGCCTCTCTTCCGGACTTCAGAAGATTTTTGAGGATCCTGCTGACAAGTAAGCATAATTTATTTTTCATATTTTGTTTTAAAAAATTGAATAACTGATTTTTCAAGAAAGAAAACAAGCTACAAAATATGTTGCAGGGCTCTCCTCTTGAAAGTTGTTGTGATATCTAGCTTGGTCTGTTAAATAAGCTTTTGCTTCAGAACAGGGCTGTGTTTTACCATTTGGCACAGAATGCCTGTTCCTATGGACTGCAAGGACAAGAAGGCAGCTTTCTCAGTTTGTTTTCCCATCAGCAGATATACAGTCCTCTAATATAAGCGTATTTACTAGAGGTGCACCAAAATGAACATTTCAAAAACAAAACCGAAATTAAAAAAAGGCCAAAACTTTTTTTATTTTAACTTTTAAAAATATATATATTTTATATAAACGTTAACTTTTTTTATATTTATTTTTATTTGATTCATTTTTTATTAAATAATTCTATTTTTTTACTTTTAGGGGCTTCGGGGAAATATTAGAGGTCTAAACAGACCCCTGATATTTGCCTTTTTAAAATAGAAAAAGAGATTGAGAACACTGAGTCCTCAATGTCTTTTTCTGCAGCTCCTGTTATAAGTGAGCAGGAATCCACTATACTGAGTGTTCCTGTTCATTCATAACATGAGAACAGAGCATGTTTACTATAACCACAATCATGAATGAACAGGAGGTGATGTAGATCACTTCCCATTCATTCATAATTGAGGATATAGTCAACATACTATGTCCTCAATTCTTTACAAAAACTTAGCGATCACTGATCGCTGAGTGTTTGTACTCGGGCTCCTTCCTGACACGCTGTCACAGGAGGCTGAGCGGTGTGGGGAGGAGAGCTCAGCCTCCTGTAACAGCGCTGGCTGTCTCCGCCCACACTGCTCTCCTCTAATCTGTGACAGGAGGCTGAGCGGTGTGGGAGGAGAGATGCCGGCCGCTCACAGTGCTCTCCTCCCACAGCGCTTGGGTGCCTGTGACAGTTTTTCTCCGTTCAGTTTTTTTCCTCCATCTTGCGATGGAACTGAAACTTCCGGACCCCTTATCAGTCTTTGGGGAATCGGATGTAAATGGACCTGTGTCCATTCACATCAGATTACCCCGGATCCGGCACGCTTAGGTTCGGCAAAACGGATCTCTGATCAGTTCGTTTTTCCGGACCTGACCGGAGGCGGGGGTAACTGGGTGTAAACAGATGCCCGTCTGTTTACACATGGCTACCCATAGACTTACATTGGACATCCGATCGGGTCCACTTGAAAAATAAAACTGACAGGCAGACCCGATCAGACCTCCCGTGTGAAAATGCGCCTTCCTTTTAAGGCATGTCAAGTTTGCCAGTGGTGCTCTTTTTTTTCAGCTCTCAGGGTTGGTTCACACCATAAGCAGTGCGTTGCGGTCCGATTCTGTCCGGAACGCAATGCCTCGCATTGCACCTGGCTCACTTTTTTGCCGGGCAGGAGGGGGCGTGGCAGGCTATTGAAGTGAATGGCACCGTAGCCACGCCCTCCGGCCGCAAGGGATCGCAGGGCACATTGTGCCTGCAGTGCGGTCAAAATGCTGCAAGCACTATTTTGACCGCACCGGACCTCAGGCACAATGTGCAGGTGATTGCATTGCAGCCAGAGGGCATGGCTACAGTACCATTCATGTCAATGCCCCACCACGCCCCCTCCAACCCCACGAAATAGTGAGCCAGCCCAATGCAACGCCCGATTTCGGGCGAAATCGGGCCGGAACGCACTGCATACGGTGTGTACATACTCTCAAACTTTCAAGCCCTCAAATAGCTGGTGTCATAACAGATCACATGTGCTGTATATTGGCAACTACAATCCAAATAGTGGCTAAGATGAAACCTTCCGTGGCTGTAAGGCATAGGAGGTTGTAGTTTCACTTTAAAATATGCAATGCATAACAATATGTGTCAGCAGCAATTGATTATTAACTTTAATGACTAGAAAGCAATTAAACTTTGATGCCCAGGCCAAATTTAGTGGCGTCAGCATAGTTTGCTATATCTATGACTAATTTGGTGCTTTTACAGCTTTTTCTGGCACACTGCTTTAATTAAAACCCTGCTGTTTTTTATTACAGACTAATGCACAAAAATGTGAGGAAAAAAATTTGCTTTTATCATAATACATTTATTATATATTATTAATTCTAATTGAAAATAATAATGTTAGTAAACTGGGACACACTGCCATATTCCGGCTGCAGTGTTACCGTGTTTCCCCGAAAGTAAGACCTACCCCGAAAATAAGACCTAACCGATTGGCTGACAGTCACCCAGAGTAGCTCCCTGGATGGCATGAGAGCGTTAGCCGCAGCTCCCTCCTGCCCGCCCGCACGCACGCCCGGCTCCCTGGACGGCAGAGTGGACCACTGCAGCCAGGTAAGACATCCCCCGAAAGTAAAATGTCTTATTTTCGGGGAAACACGGTATCTGTAGGCTTTTGTGACTGAAGCCTCCAGCCTGAATGTGATCACTATGTCATAGCTGATGTAATGATCATGATAGGGAACTACTATGATTGGTTCCCGAACATTAATTGGGGACCAGAGCTTATGGTGACAGGTAGCTACCGCACACATTGTCCATAGATTAACCCCTTCATGACTGAGCTAGTTTTCAGTTTCTGTTCATAAATGACTGACACACTTTTTACATTTTTGCTGTGTGATCCTTCCACAGCAGTGATATACTTTTTTACTAAATGTAACCACACATATTATATATAGTTTTTTAGAGGACAGATAGGGCTATATAATTGTATCACATATGTGTACCTAACCCCATACTTTGAATAAAATAAATGAGGAAAAAAACTACAATAAAAACACTTTTTTCACAAGTTATGATTATTATTAATGTTTTTATATTAATTATAGTATTAAAAAAAATATATTTTATATATAATTTTTATTTTCCTAATTTGTTTTACACTTTATTTTTATTTACACTGTACGCCTCCCGTCACGAAGGGGTTAAAGCTGAACTCTGAGATGAGCAAATATTATTTAAGTATAAGATGCATGTGTATTCTTAAATCTTGTTGTGCTTTGTGTATTTCTTCCAGATCTGTGCAGTAATCCAGAATGAAACCTTGCCCTTGTGCAGGAGTTTCCTGGTCACTGCTGCTCTCTCCCTTATGCAGGGCAACTGGTTGTATCTGCCTCTACTGTAGTTATCTGCAGGCTGCCTGTATTGGGTGGTCCTGCTGGGTCCCTCCCTCAGCTCTGCTCTTTTCACAAGTTATGTGCAGCACAGTGATAATGTCACTGCATTTATATGGTAATGTCTGGGCTTGCAAAGGTGTTTGGCTCACACAAAGTGAATTTGTATCCTTTTGTGGGTATTTAGAAATCAATAAAAGTTTTTGTAAATTAATTGAATTAAAGTTATTGTGCTCGGAGTTCAGCTTCAATAGTTCCTCATCACAGGACGTTATGCAGGGCATGACTAATTAGATTACTGACAGGAAGGAGTTAAAAATCCTTCATGTAGTGTGCAAAGTAAAAAAAATAAGTAAAACTGCTCTAGAAGAACATTTCTGGATTCCAGTTTGTTCATGAGTACACAAATTAGAACACAATTGGGCCTGTTTATTTACCAGTGCAAAGAGCAGTTATATAAACTGTAACGATTCCCTTGGATGCGCCTTTAGGCCTGGTTCACACCTGGGGGTTTTACAGCGCGTTCCTACGCTCTGTAAAACGCTCAACATGTGAAAACCAATGATTGGCTATGGGCATGGTTCCCACCTGGGCGTTTTAAAAGCGCGTAGGGACGCGCTGCAAAACACCCTATGCCCAAAGAAGTACAGGAGCTTCTTTGGGGCGTATTTGCCGCGCGTATCCATTGGGATACAGCCAGGTAGCCCTCGGAAACGCGCGTTTGTCACGCGGTTTTTTAACCGCAAAACGTGGTCAAAACGCACGGCACGAAACGCGCATATTCGATACGCCTAGGTGTGAACCCAGCCTTAGAATGAATGGAAGAAGCTTGTTTTGTATATACATACAAAAGGCAAAGATGTTGTGCTCTGTGTTGAGTACTAGCATTAAAAAAATAAGGTATCTAGGCACTGATCTTTGAGATGTTGTAAACTGTAGGACTATTATGTTCGAAAAAAAGAATAGCACTTGATATATTGCCACCTTAAACACTTGGGATATAGATGTAGACGATTTCCACTATTTCTTTGTCAGTTTTCGAGTTTAGCAAAGTGACAGCGCACATCTTTTCCTTCTCTTATAGTGACCTCCTTAAGCTGAAATCTCCAACTATTGAAGCTCAAGACTACTTCAGGGGGAAGACATTACTGCTTGTTCAGCAGGCCTCTACCCAAAGCATGTCTTATTCAGACAAAGATGAAAGAGAAAACGTGCTTCCCAATGGGCGTAGTGTGTCCTTGATGGACCTGCAAGAATCTACTGTAAATCACAGTGAGCGTTCCACTGTTGTTCAGGAGCCACCTTTGCGTTTAACTGGCAGCCAGCTGTCCATTGCACATGTAGCCACTATAAAGCAACTGCGAGACAACCAGAGCACACCACAGAGTGCTCCTCAGGTCAGGAGACCCTTACACCCAGCTTTGAGTCAGCAGAACAGCTTGCAGCCACTGTCTTTCCAAAACCCTGTTTACCACCTCAACAACCCCCCACCCACCATGCCCAAGGCTTCAGTGGACTCAAGCCTTGAAAACCTAAGCACTGCCAGCTCACGGAGCCAGAGCAACAGCGAGGAGTTTATCCTCAGTGGACCCAGCAATAGCAGCATGGAAGACTTTACAAAAAGAAGTACGCAAAGTGAGGACTTCAGCAGGCGGCACACCATGCCTGAAAAGCCCATTCCTATAGCACTGCCACGACAGAATAGCACGGGGCAAGCTCAGATCCGTAAGACTGACCAAGCAGCCCTGGGTGCTCGAGCCAAGGCCCCTCAGTCTTTGCCACACAGTGCCTCTATACGCAGCACAGGCAGTATGTCTGGAATCTCTGCCACTCTGCTAGCTGAGCCTGTGCAGAATGGGAACCGGTCAAGACAACAATCCACCTCTTCCCGCGAGAGCCCTGTACCAAAGCTACGAGCCATTCATCGCCAGCAAACACAGCAGGTGAGCAGTCTTGTATTGTGTTCCAGCAAAAAAGCTCAACTGTAATTATTGCCCTATGAAAAATAAATTAAAGTGTGAGAAAATTAAATTAAGTGTGAGATGGAGACAGATGTTTTTTAATGCTTCATTTAACTTTTATTGCTGCCCTTGGTATTCTTGTCTTTAAATCTTATATCGAATAACTAAAATAAGTTTTGGTCTGCAAAAAAAATTATCCTTGGTAATCTGTTTCTTCATTCTTAGTGTAGAATTCTGCTGTGTTTTATTCACTTCTAGAATACTGCAGCATGTGTCGCTTCCTCCCCACTATAGGATATTCAGAATTCATGTCCCTTCCCTTCTCTTTTATATATAATGGTACTCAGTCTGTCTCCTTCCCCTTTTCTTTTGTGTATATTGCTGCCGAATCTGTCTCTTCCTCCTCAATACAGAATACTCCGTATCTCCATTTCATTCTATTTTATATACAGTAAACTCCCCATTATCCGGTAGCAACCGGACAAAAAAAATCGAGGACACATGTCCTCAATTTTTTCTTGATTTTTTTTTTGCTGGTGGTTTGATGCACACTAGAAAATTGGCGGTTGCTTGGTGCACAGCACACTAAAAAATCTAATTGGCAACTAAATGTATGCTAACGAACACGCCCGAGCCCATCACCTCTGCTCAGTGGGCGGGGTTTTAATAGCCTGGTATTGACTATTAAGGTGACCATACACTGTACAATCATCGCAAGACGTTAGTCTTGCGATGGTTGTAAAGTGATTTAAAAAACGTACGATCTGCCCATCTTGGACAGGCAGATCGTACTTTCGATCATCGCAAGCCCGCCCCCCTGAGGGGCGGGCTTCCGATGACCGCAATGCTGAACAGGCAGTGTGCGCGTGCGCACACCGGCCCGTTCGGCATTTGTCTCCCGAGCACCGTTCAAACCAGCCGAAAAGTGTACGATTTGCGGCTGGTTTTCTAGCGTGCTCCTTAGACAAAAGACGTGCGACCGTACAGTAGAAACGGTCGCACGTCTTCGTTCACACTGCTCGATTCTCGTACGATCGTGGGATTTCCTGCGATTCTCGTACGAGAATCGAGCAGTGTATGGGCACCTTTACCAAAATCGCTATTGCTCCAAGCTGCTTACAATCACCTGTTGGCATGCGGAAGCAGCCGGCAGGTGAATGGGACTGTGGGGGGGACGACACTGCGGGGATGGTTGCTTGGGAGTTACGGTTAACTCTCAAGCAACCAGAAACTAGTTGTGTGGCACCGACCGATCCCTGTGGGTGCTGGATAACTGGGAGTTTACTGTGTTAGGGTACTGAATCTGTCTTCTCCCCCTTTTCTTTTGTATATTATGTTACTGGATCTGGCTTCCCTGTAAAGACTACTGCAGAGTGTATCTTCCCTTTTCTCTGTATAGAATGCTATAAATCTGTTTCTTTCTCTCTGAACCATGTTGCTCGATCCATTTTACATTTCTGCTTTATATGCTAATTACTTGCACTAAAGTTGCTATTTTTGTGGTTTTTTTTCTTCTTTTTGGCAACATTTAGGAACCAGTTATTTTACGAGAGTATTTATCCCATTAAACTTATAGACTGAAGAAGGTCTAAAAAATGTTGCACATGTCATAGGCTCTAATTATGGCCGACTTAGCCATGTTTTTAATTTTTACTGCACTCATCTCTTATTACCTGTTAATGTAATAAAAGTTTGCCTTAAGTCTATTTTTATAACCTGATCTAGTATTTCCAGATCCAGTACTAGGATCATAAACTTAGGTATTCTTACAAAGTATTCTAGAACAATGACAGACGTTTGGTTGTAAAACTACATAAGATTCCATTACATTTACATGTATTAACAGAGTTTACTGTGATTTTACTGCAATCTGTTTACAGAACAATGGCGCCCTCTACAGAGTTTTCTAGATGTAATACAGAGAAACCTATGTTGCACAACTAGAAAATATAGTGTCAAAGGACCGGTAGACACTTTATATCCACTTATAGGGTATACAGAAAACAAAAAAGTCCTGCCAACTGCATTTTCGTTGAATGGACCATTATTTTTCCAATCAGTTCAGTTGAGTGCGAGTCATTCACAATGTATGTAGGTGGGTCACATCAAATGTTTCAAAATGTGCCTGACACATGAAATAGCATGCTCCTAAGATGTATGCATCTGATCTGAGCATACTACAGATAATACATATATTGCATTTTTAACCAGCTATTTTTGGCTCTTTTCTGAAAATGCTAACTGTCCTGGTGTGTTAGGCTTCCATATTTCTGAGCCACAGACCCGGAGCAAGCAAAGCAGCAAATGAAAGTTGGATAAAGTATCGGACTTCCTTAGCTCGGTACTTTATTTTTGGTAACTGTGAGCATTTCAGCCTATGCATTAGCAGGAGAGCCAGGCATCTAGCATTCTTAAAATGCAGCCTAAATATATTTCTCACGTATATTCGTTTATTCGTTTTTATTCAGTAGAGTAAAGAGCTGACCAAATTAGAAATATGGGGAATACATACATCTTCCTGCTAAAATTGTTGTGATTTCTAGGTGCAGTCTCCAGTGGACTCAGCCACAATGTCTCCAGTGGAAAGGACAGCAGCCTGGGTGCTGAATAATGGTCAGTATGAAGATGAAGAAGAGGAAACCTTGGATCAAAACAAAGATGAAGTCAAACCTGCTGAGAAGGTAGGGGCGTGGCCAGATGAAATATTGTGCTGTATAGAGTAGACGTGATCTTCTGTTCCCTGTAGTAGTTGACCTTCTGTGTGCCATCCACATACATTCACATATGGCATATTGGGCAATTGTTCACATAAGAAGTGTGTGTGTATGTGTAATATATATATAATGTTGAACCCGTGCCCTCAGTTGCATGAGGCATGGATATTTCATGGGACTAAATTACCCTATGGCATATGGGGGTATTATAAGGGCTCCAGAAGAATAAAAGGCCTGGTATCCCACATGATCCTGCCACACCTAACACTCTGGAAATAACTTTTGTGCCACCAGGGTAAAAAAAAAAAATCAAAAACATTGAATGGACTTTACATTGGTCTCTCATCCCCCTCCCTCCCTCCACTCTGAGAATTTAGATGTAAAGTTTACCAAAGTATTCGTTTCTGACAGTTAAACGTCTTCTCTTTGCAGTATGAGCAAGAGATCGCCAAGCTTAAAGAACGACTGAAGGTTTCCAGCCGTCGCCTGGAGGAATATGAAAGGCGCCTCCTGGTGCAGGAACAGCAGATGCAGAAACTGTTAATGGAGTACAAATCTCGACTGGAGGACAGTGAGGAACGGCTGCGTCGGCAGCAGGAGGAGAAAGACAGCCAAATGAAAAGTGTCATCAGCAGGTGAGCCCCGGACATAGATCTCATCCTCTCCACAGTATTGTGTATATAGGACTCGGATGACGTGCGTCATATCCTTTCCCTTCCAGGCTAATAGCGGTAGAAGAGGAACTGAAGAAGGATCATGCAGAGATGCAGGCTGTCATCGATGCAAAGCAAAAAATCATTGATGCACAGGTATATATTTACTCCTACCGAGCACTATAATGCATGTTTTCTAATTTCCTCCATCATGACAAAAAAAAAAGACTTGGCAGCTTGTACAGTGCAATTGTCCTGTGTCACTTGTCATATCAGAGTATTTCAGATGTCTCATTGTAATGTCAGCACACCATGCCTATTCATTTTACAATCTCTAGATGGCTTGCATACAATACAGAGCTCTAAAGAACAGTGACATGCAGGTGCCCAAAGCATCCAGTCAGATTGAATCCATGCTTTTGGAGTCGTCTGAACGATGTCAGATGATTGGTAAATGGCACATAGTGAGGGCAGACAATCTGTAAAGTGGAATTAATCCTGTTCATTCACAAATAGCCCCTGACACATTTTACAGCTGAAGGTTAACTTCCAACTCTGTTCATTGTAGCAATCATATTTTCAGATGTCAGTACTGTTACCACTTTATATCTCTGCTGTGCTCGCTTTAGCTATTATGGTGGCATAATACAGTAACAGTCGGAGAGCCCAGGTTTTAAGATCCTTCATAATAGTGCAGTATATTCTCTTTATCAGTATGTTGTTTGAGTTCAGTATGCAGTGCAGTCTCTGGAGCAGAATATGAAGAAAAGCCCCATGATTCGAAGATGCACACAAATGCTTTAAAGCAACAAGCTAGCAAGAGTCGCAGTGCCTTCTTGGTCAAAGCTGTCCAGCTATATATCTCAGTGGCTTCATTTAGACCAGGATTTTAGGCCAAAATAACAATCTTCCTTGTGAAATTATTCTGAATTCATTATTGTGTGTTTAAAGCTGAAATATAATTATTTAGTTTTGGATAACGTGAGGAATGGTTGGATTCCAGGGTATTCCTATAAGCTGAATGTACACATTCCTTCTCTGCAGAGCATTCTTCCTATATTCCAGTGGAGTATCCATTAGAGAGCAACTGACATTGTCACCAGCCGCTAGAGTATTCTCTGGGGGAATATATTGCAAACACATTCTAAAAATGGGAAAAGGGAAATTTTTCCTGGAGTTTCAGAAGTCTCTAACTCGGATAGGATCTTGACCCTGGAGGACTGAGTTGTACAACACTGGTGTAGCTAATATACCCACCACAGTGATGTTTCCATTGGTACATTCAGAGAAGATGGAAACATCTCTTGAGTCTGAGCTTGGCTCCTCAGTGACTAAGGGCCTGGCATTTACCTCTGTACTGTCCATTGTCATTTGTCGCATGCATGCTTAATGACCCAATTTTAGAAAATGTCATATCTTTTGTTTCATGGCGTGGCATTGACAGAGCTGCCACTTTGGAGATCCATCTCCCTCCTCACATAGCAAAAATAACCACTGAACTTCTCTCTCATGTTAGTCTCATTACAACTGTGTTAAATTACAGGTCATTAATGGGACTGTAACGCAAACAGGCAAGTAAAACAAGTGCACTTATTAGCTAAGCAGTGTCCCCAGACATGGCCTGTGCCTGACCTCCTACACATTCCAGCTCCTTTCTATGTCTCCGAGAATTTTTTAAGCAAAGTTGTGTTATCTTGACACCGCTCAAGTTTTTTTAAACGCAATTAACCTTTTTCTATTTTGCACTTAAAATATATGTAAAGCCAACATTTATTTATTTTATTTTACATTTTGGATAGAGTAGGGAAGGGTTAAAAGAGAACTATGGGGTAAGTGTTTTTCCCCATAGTTCTCTTAAGGATCACGGGAGGACATAAACTAGCGTTCCTCCCGTGACCCAAAGCTCAGTATAACAGCGAAAGCTGACCCAAAGCTCAGTATATCGCGAGCTAAAGCTTGCAGTATACTGAGACCGCCACAGCCGGGACGGATCCTGACATTACTGTCGAGATCCACCCAGCTGCGTGATTGACAGCTGGCTCTGCCTATCTAGAGGTAGAGCCAGCTTTACCCGCACCCTCCCCTGTCTGTACCTCCAGTCAGCGCCTCCTGATCTATTGAGCTGACGTCTGACAGTTTCATTGTCACGCGTCGGCTTGAACTAGGAGGATGAGTGATTTTTAGGGTGTCACATTTGTGTCCCATTGACAATATTTCTCTTTACTTCATGTCCTGTAGAGAGAACAGGAAGCGACAGAAAATCTCTCCAAAGGAACTGATCCTTAAGGGCCGGTTCACACCACAAAGTCTGTGTTCCAGAGAGTTCAGCCTCTGGAATGCAAGCCGGACAGCTCCCTGCGGGAGGGGGCGTGGCGGTGCATTAAAGCCAATGGCACCACAGCCACGCCCACTGTGCGATCGCCTGCACCCAGTTAGTGCCTGTGTTTCGTGTGCGGGCGATCGCACTGCAGGCGGGGAGCATGGCTGCGGTGCCATTGACTTCAATGCACCACCACGCCCCCTCCTGCCCTTGAACGCAGGGAGCTGGCCGGCTTGCTTTCCAAAGGCCGAACGCTCTGGAATGCAGACTTTGTGGTGTGAACTGGCCCTTAAACAGTTTTCACCTCAACAGGTGCCCCTGTTGGAAGATTTTTTCCTCTTTCACTGTTATGGTGTTAACACTAACTCGCCAATCTGTCCAAAATTAAAGGAGAAAGTTTTGGCTTTAGATGCACTTTAATTGTTTCACTTGCACTGAGTAGAAAGTATAAGATGATTAACCTTAATGGGCAGCATAGATAATGCTTACTGAGGTCCTGTGTGTTTACTAGATAACAAAAACTGTAATATTTGTATTTGTTATTGCATTTCACACTTATCCCTGCCACTCTGTAATAATATAGGAGCAGCCATGGGATGTTTCAAGAGTACCTGTCATACACACTGTAGTGGTAGCTGTTTTTCTATAAATGCTCATGTCTCATTGGTAATAAACTGAAATCTTGTGAATGGTGAAACGGCCAACACAAAAGCCTGTATTGCTGTCAATAGGCAATAGTCCCTTGTAAATTAGCCCTTGAATTAGCCAGTCTGGCAGGTCAGTGCGAAAATCTTATCGGGTTACTTTGTGCAAATGAGTAATATATACTATTACTTCGTTCTCTAGATGCATGTCTTGGATTTTATGGGAAAGAAGCAGCTATTAAAGTTTTTGTTATTTTCTGCTTAATATCTGTTATTTCATAGAAACCAATGCCCTGTATGTATACTATGCTGTAGTTGGATGGGTTCTTCCTGTATATAGAACCCTATTTTAAAAATAACATTATAATTGACATCTCTAAAATACTTGATTTGCAGGTCGATGAGACTCAACCTGTTTGTGCTAAGCTTGTAATATATTTATCTATAATATAAGTCACGAATAGATGACTGATGCACTAAGAGGGAACTGGTCATATACGTGACATTGTGCTTAGTGTCTTTGTAAACTAAGTGTTCTAGCTATTAACAGTGACATGATAATTGCTGTAGTTGTGAGTCACAGTACTAGTTTTATTTGGCACTGCTGAGGGCTTAGAAAGATGAACAATATTCCTATTTCTACATTATCAGGGTAATCTGAAATAGCCATAGGATTTCAGAAATACCAGTTAGTCCTGATATTAAAAAAAAGTAATTACACAAACCTGGCTGCCATTTTTCTTTGCCAATTAGAAAACAAATGTGGCATACAATTCATTTTTTGCTGTGTAGGTCCATGCTACTCAAACCTGTTCTCTTATCCCATCAGCTGTAAGACAGGGGTTGCACATTATGCATGTTGATATTCTATGGTGCCATTAATTACTAAAGGCACAGTAATGCAGTAAGCATGCTAGTTTACGAAATATAATGCGTGCATTAGGCAGCCCATTCAAATGAAGGGGCTGCCTAAACACTGCTCTATAGTGTAAATCGAGCCTTAAAAGAGAACTATGGGGTAAGTGTTTTTCCCATAGTTCTCTATAGGGTCACGGGAGGACATATTCTAACCTCCTCCCGTGACCCCAATCTCAGTATATTGCGGGCTATTGCCCGCAATATACTGTCAGCACCGCAGCCAGGACAGATCCCGACATTAATGTCGTGATCCACCCAGCTGCGTGAGTGACAGCTGGCTCTGCCTATCTATAGGCAGAGCCAGCTGTGCCCACCCTCCTCCCCCGCCCGTTCCTCCACCAACTATGAGGATGAGTGGAAATCACTCACCTCATAGATCTCCTTTAAGGCTGATTCTCACCATTATGCCGTGTGCTACAACATAAATGTTGTCATGCATTGAGGTGCATTAAGCAGACCATTCAAAATGAATGCGTTACCACAGGATACTGGTGGGCCCTTAATGTTTTGTGGATATGCGTGCAGGTACTTTTGCTAAATGCTCCGCTATTCACCCCACCTGTATGTGCGTAAGGTTAAAATGAATTGCTGCTGGGTAGATACGTGTGGCAAATTACATTTATCAAGCAAATTAGCAACACCATTAGTCACAAATCAGACTGCCTTTCCTTCAGCCTCTGCAACAGGTTTACAAACCTGTGTGTCTTTATTCCAAGGCAGCCAAGTGCAACAAAATTCTGAGTTAAGGTGCCCATACACGTGCCGATTATCATACGATAATCGCGGGTGATCCCGCGATCATACGATAATCGGCAGGTGTATGGAAGGTATGCGACCGTTTCTACTGTACGGTCGCACGTCTTTTGTCTTCCAAACACGCTGGAAAACCTGCCAAAAATTGTAAGATCTTCGGTGGGTTAGTGGCATGCTCGGAAGACAAATGCCGAACCAGCCGGTGTGCGCAAGCGCACACTGCCCGCTCAGCATTGGAATCATCGGAAGCCCTCCCCTCAGCGGGGAGGGCTTGTGATGATCGCAAGTATGATCTGTCTGTCCAAGATGGGCAGATCGTAGGAGATTTTAATTACCTTACAACCATCGCACAACGAAAGTCATTTATTACTGAAGATGGGACAAATTTTCACTCTAAACAGACGCACAATTATGAAGTGGTTGCGGTCATGTTTTATTCTGTCACAGTGCTACTTTAGAGCAGCTGAGGAAGGAATTTGACACCAGCTGTAACCTGGTAGAAAATCTGTATCACAATCTGTCAGACTGCTCCTGTGTTGTTTTGCATTGTGGCAGAATGGAGGAATGTCCACCTTTTTGTCATTTATACATGAGACCCAAGTGCCTATTATACCTGAAAATTTCTGTCAGATTTCTAGTGTAAGTTTGAAACTAAAGACTTATATCTTGTTTCTGTAGGAAACACCATCCCTTTGCCTGTACATGACTTCCAATACATAGCTTACATATTTAATATAGAATAGTCAGACTGATTTTTTTTTTTTTTTTCATGTAATGCCACAATCTTAAAGGACAGGTTCATGTTTCATTAAAAAAAAAACCCACATAAATCCACCCTAGCTAGGCCCCTAATCTAATTTAAAACCCCCTCTAAGCCAAAATCATCTTCAGCGCTGGCCATGTCTGCACAGTGAGCTGCCTTAGACATAAATGGGGCCGTACAACGAGTATCTCTAGGCTCAGAGTACAGCACTATATATGTCTATGAGGGCTCAAAGCCTAGGCACAGCCAGCACTGAACATTTCATCCCCAATAATGTAAACAGCAGAGAAGAGTGGGTGTCATGGCAAGATCAGGGGGCTAGGGAGGAGGGGACTAATGTAGTTTTTACTAAAAGTGAAATATTCGAAACATTGAGCTGCCATTTTCAGGTTTGTATGTTTTATTGGCATTATGGCCTTATACATGGAGCCATATTTTAATATTATTTGAGACCTGCAGGTGTCCCCTCCCCTCCTCCTTTCCCCATTTCCTCTCCTCACCCTTTCCCCATTTCCTCTCCTGAACAACGTGAGCTGGAATGGGGTTTGGAGCAGTGCATACTTAGTCCTATTTTTTTATTTGCTTTATTTTGATATTTACTGTTAATTTGTGCACCCTTTCACAACCTCCCCGTCTCTTCCTCATGCTCAAAACAACCTCTCAGTTCCAGCTTCTGGCTGCTTCACTCCTGTGTTGCTTTATTCCCTCCGCTACCAGCAAAAAGGCCACCCGTTATGCCATGTTGTTAGGATATCTGTCCTCCTTGTAGATTCCTTGAAGATCGTGCCATTCACAGCTAATGTCTTATTTTTCTTTGCAAAATGAAACATTTCACAGGCATCTATATAATATTACATGTGATCCTTTAACAATTTGAAAGTAAAACCTTTTTTGGTTCACGATATTAAGCTGTTATTGGCAGCCAATACAAGCCTTCATCAGATATATGTATTACTCTGAAACCAGGTTTTGGAGCCTTCCAGGCAATGCTTCATTATTAATGGTTTTAAGTGATGTATGACAGTGCTTACTATAAATGGTTTTGGATAGAATTTGGAAACACCATGCTTGCTCAATTTGATATATACAGTATTTATATGACAAAAAGAAGAAAAAAAAGTTGACCAAGCCCTTTTGATGGGTGTCGGGCGTAATGCGGAACCTCTGGCATACCATTTGAGGAACATGCATTGAAGCAGCATTATTTTTTGGATTGGGCCATTAATTTGTCACATAAATGCATTTGTTTCTTTCTTACTATACCTTTAGTTGGACATAGTACAAGCTATTTACCTGCTCTGAAGCCCTTGGAAGTTTAAATATTCTACATTTTAATACTAAATTACTTTTTGACACAATGAATGTGGCAAATGTTGCATCCAGTTTAATGTAAAATTACTCTCATACAATTTTTTAGGGGCATTTGCACCATTGTAAATAGGGGCTAACTTTTCTCGAACTCATTTACTCGAGTCTGCAGTTATAAGTTGTAACTAAGATTATGAATACCAGCACTATACAATTATCATGTAATCAATATATTTATTCTGCTGTTGTAATCTTTTGCAATTACAGTAAATTGTACACATTAAAGGTAACTTTAAACCTTTCCCGGAGGTTCCATTTTGCAAAGAAGAAAGCATTCAGGTCTGCCATGTGCAATCCATTAGACAAAGGTGTAGGATTAACCTCTAAACTGGTCTGTCTGTTTCAGGAGAAGAGGATCATGTCACTGGACGCAGCCAACACACGACTGATGAGCGCTCTGACGCAAGTAAAGGAGCGCTATAGCTCACAAGTTCGGAACGGCATCTCTCCGACCAATCCTACCAAGTTATCCATTACAGAGAATGGGGAGTTCAAAAACAGCAGTTGCTAATGTCCATTGCAGAACTCTGTGCCATCTAGAAAATGCTGCTATACCAAATGACTAGCACCAATCTGTGGATAAGTGATACCGAACGGCGCCTTTGCGACTATGGGTGGAGTCCAGCCATACCGCACTGTACATATACAGTATATATAGAGTGAATGCATTGTGCTCTGTACAGAAATTTACATGTAACATATCAAATGGAAGTTAATAATATGTAGAAGATCTTTTTATATGTATAAAAAAGGAAACATACCTATTTTTTATTTGTGTTTATCTTTCCATGGACAAAAATGGTAAATTTAAGAGAAAATATTCTAGTTGAAGGAGCTGTACATATCACACCAATACACACACATAACACAGAATGTACTGAGAAAACTATAACAGAATGACAGAATTGAAGAGGAGTTTGGCTGGAGTGCGTTTCTCATCCTGAAAGCCTTGTTTGCTAGGCTCACACACCTCTCCAGCATGGTAATATTGCAGTTCTGTTCAGCTGGAGTTTCCTGAACACTAATGGCTGCAAACTAAGGTCAAAACAGTGTGGTCAGGTCATTTCACTTACCCCTGGCACCATATCTGGTAAAAAATATATCGTTTTAGAAAGTTGTTTTTAATTTTTTTAAACTAATGTTTTTCGAGTTTACAGATCTGTAAATATGTATATTTTGGTTGTAAAGTGAGATCCTACCATTCACATATGTGATGATGTCATCACTGCACACCACGAAGGAAAGGCAAAAGACATACTTGCTTTGGTGTGGCCACAGGTTTTAGGACTAGTGTGCCCCATCTATATTTTTATCCCAAAGGGTTTCAATTCATATTGTAACATGCAGGACAAAAGTGATACAGCTACTGACGTATGTACTTTAGAGAATAAGCACTGAAAACATCTATCTTACATGTAAGGTAGAGAAACACATTGTAACAATAACAATTTAGTTTTTTCTGTTTCTTACTCGGGATGTCATGCTTAAACTCTTTGCTGCCAGGGACCTCCATTTTTCTCATTTCCTCCATCTTCAAAGAGAACTGGCAGTTTAAGTATTAAGCTATGCAACGCCTCTCACAGGTTGGAGATTAAAGGTTAAAATTGCAGACATTGAAGCGTTTTGTGAAAATGGAACGCGGTGGGTGCCCTGGTTGTTACAGAATGTTTAATGTTTTACACCTGTCATTTGGGATGGGGGGGGTTATCTATTATTAGGTGGTTCTGGATTGGTGAACGAACCCTGTATGTTAAAACTACAACTTCAATGAATGTGAAGGGAAGGCTGGGCTTGTTATTTATAGAGGATAAGAACTGTTGAACTGTTTTTGTATTAAAATAAATTAAAATAATATTAGACTGCACCTGTTTCAAATGCACAGTGAAGGAACCATGTTGTATGCTGAGCCTATTGTGAAGCCTTTTGATGTAATAAAATCCAGTGAAATAACAGATGCATCAGAGAGTGAATGGATAGGCTGTATTAAGTATTGTGGATCCATCTCCCAACACCTACATTGTGTAGGCTTGTTGTAAATCGTTAAAATGTAATTAAACACAAAAACACAAATTTATTATATTTAAGTTTACCACACTTTAGACGTGGTGGCTTTATAAGGGTAATTTTTTCAAGCTAAGAACATTTTCAACACATACAGAAAAAAACCTTAATGATCTTGGGGGATGATGATGGTCAGATATGAAATGTCCATGTCACTTCCAGTGAGCTGAGGGGCAAGCAGAAACCATCTTATCTATCTTTTTTAAACTATTTGTCCTATCGGCACCTATGTTATAGAGGTGAACAAAGGCCGACGTATGAAGTCCAGCCTGGGTGACCACTATACATATAGTGGAGAAGTAAACAAAGCCACCCAGGGACAGTAAGTGTGTTCACAGGATTGCCAGAAGAGAATAAAGGAAACAAAACCTAAAAAAAACCGAATGCATTCAACGACTAGTAAGCTGCAAAATAACATTTCTGTTTTTGGGTTTAGATACACTTGCTGACCTCCTTTAGAATATGACAGTTGCTTAGCATTGATGCTGACCTTGTCACCTAAATACACTCTCAGCTATTGACTTGGAAAAGGCGTGCAGCAAATCAGGTCAGAGTGAAGTCAGAACTCTTGATCCATATGCTTGTACCAGGTCAGTGACTAAAAAAGAACTGAAGCCATTTTATCATATGGACAGCCGGGCAACCAGCATGTTTAGATGCGAATGTCCGTAATGGCAGCTTTCTTGTTTCTTAGAGCACAGGTTTAATTTAAGGCTTTTTATACCCATGCCCTTTCCTGTGCTCCTTGTAGATATGCCATAAATTGCATTCAAATTCAGCGTGGTTAGGGCTACAAAGAATTGTACATTGGGTGCACCTTCCTTTACATATAGAAACAAGTATCAGCACCAGAAAGGAATAGGGCAAAATCTTTTGTCAGCTCTGTTTCTATCAAATGTTTTCCATTGCACTTGCTAGGCACATTCAGTGTAGAGTTCAGTGAGGCAATTGTTTTTACATTCTTTAGTCTCTCTCCTCTTCCTCAAAGCACATCTGACCTTTGCCTATGCAGGGCAATAGCTTTGCTATAAAGCCTGCTTCCCAAACAGCACATACTCGCCTTTCCTTTGCTCCACCACCAGGAACAATGGAAACACATGTTAGTTTTGAGCTACATAGGCCCATGTGACTCACCCAAAGTGACAGTGCTGGTTATTGACCCAGTGCTGACATGAAGGGGCATGGAGACAGTCAGCCCTCTCTGCTCTCAGCTCATATGCTCTGATATGAGCTTACACTGGGCTGTTTTCCTCCCTCCCTATCTAAGTATACATTGGCTTGTTGCTCTGCTCAAATAAATAGGTTTAGTTTAAGTGAAAGAAGTTAATGCAGATGATATAAAACAAAGGCACAAGAAAGGAATAGTACTTAAAAAGGTTTCTCACTTGAAAATGGAACTTGACCCAAAATGTTTCCTTTGCTTTAGTCTTAGATCGAGCAGTGTAGGGGGGTTAGAATCTGTCAGTTTTGCTGTTGCTGTCCGTGTTGCCTTCAGATGAAACTTCTTCCTAATGGGAACACATACAGCAATAAAAACTAGGAAGGTTTAGCCGTTCCTAAAGTTGGGCCATACATTGTTAAAGTGACCGTAAACGCAAATGCATTCAAGTATATTAACTATTAACAAAAATGTAGCTTATTTGTGTATCACTGGGCTGTAGGTCCTCAAATCATCTCTGAATTGGTGCTGACACTGTCCTTCCTTCTGGAGGGGGGCTTTGTTCCCCATGATCCCTGTGTGTGTTATAAAGTAGCCACCTCTCCAAGCTCACTCCTGTGATGGATTACAATCTAAATACAAATAAGTATAGTTAACCTGTGATTGTACTCCATCACAGGAGCGAGCTTGGAGCGGTGTCTAATTTACAACACACACACAGACCATGGGGAACAAAAGTAGCCCCCCTCTAGAAGGAAGGACAGTGTCGGCACCAATTCAGAGATGATTTGAGGATCTACAGCTGAGTGACACCCAAGTAAGCTACATTTTTCTTAATAGCCAAGGTACCTGAATGCATTTTTAAAATGTAACTCCCCTGTTTAATGTCTCTTTAAGAGAAATCATTTGATTTTCCCATCGACGCTAAAGAGCGTAGACGTTAGAATTTACCCTGCCAGCTACTGTATTCTGACAACCTGTGCCTGCAGCTGTCGGAATACATGATCATTGAGCTGATTGGCTGCAGTCACTGTTAAACAATTTTTCAACTGCCAGGGCCACCCTTGGATGGAATTTCGCCCTTTAAGCAGGAAGTGGCCAAATGCGATCGTCTTTTGGCCAACTTTACTCTATCCAAAACTGAAGTAAGGTTTTGGCTGGATCTTAACTTTGAGGGAAAAATTGAAAGGTCTGATCTCAATGGTGGACGTTGGAAAGGGGTGGGACTAATCTGGCCCTGGAAATCCATTGACTATATTGGGTTTCTAAATCTGCTAATTTTAAAAAAACAAACGTTTTCAGGAATATCAAGTAACTCATTTTCTTTGCTAATCATGACTTTTCACAACCTTCTGATAGGCAGTTTAGTGGGTCATAATCCCTCAACAACATTTAGCCTCCTACCACTTAACATTATCTCAACAAACCTAAAGTGAGGGTGCTGGGAGTGGGTCATTGCTGAATAGGATGAGTGCTCCTGCCGCTGACCAGGGCAGAGCTAACAGTTGTAGAAACACAACTGAAACTGGATACCAAAATTTGTTAAGGGCTAACCGCATGGTGTGAGAGACTAGTGACTGCTGTCTGATGCGAGAGCGAAAATGTACACGGTTTTTGTTTTTGTTTTGTATTTATTTATTTGTTTACCATAATCCCCTCCCTTTTGTTCCTCTCACTTTATTTGAATACTTCACCTCTGTCCAACATCCAGGGATTTTGTGGATAACAAAGTGGTTTTTGAAACCATCAATAAATTTAGCTATTTTAATATTGTTAATATCTACAATAAAATGGAACTTCTGTATTTAATGAAATGAGTGACGTTTGATTTATACGAACATATATTGATCATTTGTACATTGGTTTGCATTTTACAGTGTCGAATAATCCTCCATTTGGGGCCTATTGTGAGAAACCTGCACGCTTACAGCTTACCTCTGTTTAATCATCTAACCATAGTCTTATGTTTTTGTTAGTGATAAACACATTCTCTTGTTGAGTATTCTGTTTTTCCATACAACTGTGCTCTGCTGCATATTTGTTTACTGTGCATATGTATGTTGGCATAAACAATCCACGATGATTTTCTTTTACAACAATTGGATATAATTAACGATGGTCTTTTTGAGCTAGGGAAGAATGTAATGAAAGAGTGAGTAGACAAAGAATGTTTTGCCTGACTGTAACAGACTTACCCGTCCTCGGTCCAGCGCTGTCTGGCGGGGCCAATCACGGCCAGCTCGGCCGTTAGCTCCTCCCCTTCAGGGCCGTTCAGAATGACTTATAATGTCT